TCCAAATACTCTTCGAGTCTTTAGTTTCACAATAAAATTCGAACTTCATTTTTTAAATGACTCTCTCTTATTAGAAAAGATCCACCGTCTCAAATCAAAAGAGATTTAAGGGTTGAGAAATTTTATCTTTTCCAACTCTTACAAGGAGAATAGAGTTTCATATCAATCGAAAATCAGAAATATGAGAATGAAAGATACAATCGACTTTGTCTCGACTCAAGTTGACGTTTCCAATTCACTAAGCTCAAAATCGAATAGACAAATTTCTGTCTATTTAGTCATTTCTCTAAAATACGTGGGCTAGTTTATCTTCAAGTGGAGCAATTCTTATGTATTTGTGGTCATATGTGTGATATTTTGTATTATTTATCATCTACATAAACTAACACGTTTATCTTTTGAGTTATATTTCTTTGTCAGGTAGTTAGAACTGATCTGTGTTGATAACCTGGTTGGTCATCCTTATTTCACAAGATCTAAGGCCCCCAAAGATTCATTCTTCGATCAAAGTTTGCAAAAAGGAAAGACAATAATGGGTGATTACAACGACGAGATTAGCCTGACTGATATTGTCGTGGCTCAGCTCGCCGCCGCTGATCAAAATGAATTAATTATGCAGTTGATGCAACAGATTGCCGAAATGAGGATTGAAATACAGAGAAGGCAAGATTTGTCTAATCCATTTTTTGCTTTCAACCCTCCAGGAGATGGAAGAACTCCACTCCACTTTCATCCACCAAGCGTGGAATAGGTTCATAACCCGCCCTCTAACCCCGCTCAAAATCCCTCAATCATCAATCTTGTAACGACCCTCAAAATAAACTAGGATGAAGTAGAGCCTCACATGGGTTTTATGCATTAATAACCTGTTAAAATAATGAAGAAATAGCCTTTTTAGTCAGTTTTAAAGAGTTTGGAAGTCAAACGTCAATGGACGACCAAGACGTTCGAAAACTAGTTTTTTACGTGTTGGTGTGTTCTAGTATGTTGTTCATGTTTTTATGTGTTGTTTGGAGTCTAAAATCAGTGGAGGTGACCCTAGTGTCTTAATAAATATTTTTAGGGTTAAAACGTTTGGATTCGACTCCCCGGGGGCCACCCTAAGGGTCCCCGAGGAGGACCCCAATCTTGGCCAAGCAAGCTGCCAAGGCAACTTAAAGTTGTGCTTGGTGAGAGCATGTCCGCGTCGTGGACTACCTTCACCAAGGGACAAAAGTTTGGTCCACGTCGCGGACATGTCGCAGACTCTACTGTCTCGAATT